AATAGTAATTCACCTTATTAACTTAATTTCCTATCTGTTATGTCTTTAAATTTCCAGGCACAGTTTGATCTTCAGTTGTAGTTAGGGCTGTAATTACAGTGAAGCTAAAATGTATTGGAACTCAGTTCTTTTCATTATGTTTCAAAGTTACTGTGTCTCACATCAGGGAACAAAAACAAAACTGAAAATGTATATAAGTATAAATTAGCACAGAATTTTTATTAGCTAGTTTTTACGACCTGTCACTGCTACAATTACAAATTTATAATTTAGTAACAAGTAGAAAACTAGCATGTAATGCTTAGGTTAACACAACTTGTTACCATAATATTACCATATCATTACCCTCTGATTACCAATTATTAATCATTACCGTGATTCTGTTAAGTAAGTGCTACCAAAAGAATGTTGATGTTAGGCTTTGCACCATTCAGTTTTACTTTGCTTGAATGGTTTCAGCATCACTAAAGTCAACTTGAAAACAATTCAATCTTTTTTTTAATGTGTTAGTTCATATCGCCGGTTATTATAGTTTTTGAATTTTTCATTAGTTTTTATTTCTATTTAGTTTTTTTCATTTTGGTTTTGATTTCAGTTTATTTTCATTTAGTCTTGCAGTAATAGTTTCAGTTTTGTTTTTATTTTCTGAAAAGTAATAGTTTTACTAACTGACTAGGCGCTTCAACCCTTAGCCTCAGGTTTGCAAAAGACAAAAACAAAAACTTTTGCTTTGGAACTGAATAGAAACGTATCTAAACATATCCTACATGCTCCGCTTTCAATCAGATTCCACTGTAAAGATTTTCAGCAGCAAGTCCCACTTATATGACTGTCCACAGTGACCGTTCCTCAAACAAGTCCAATAGTGAGCACATTAGCCTTAGCTAGATTTACTTGCCAGCTTAAAATGGATACTAAAGAAAATAAGGTTGAAGTTGTCAGTGTGCCAGATTCATTTAACTGACTCAATGAACAAGATCTAACACCTTTGCTTACAGCTGATTTCCAAACAAAACATAGTTGCATCTTTGCATCAATTTGTGTTCATCAGTTTTTGAACACAGTTTGAAGGAGATCTGGCTTCGTAGCAGTGATTATATGAATCCAGGCCAAATAATATTCCAGGCTATGCAACCACTAATTGCTGAGTGCTTGATTACTGACTAAAACACAACATTTATATTACATCAACACAGACGTGGTTTACTGCACATACCAATGTAGTATTGTTAAATGTAACTGGCCTAATAGACTGTCTTCAGAAAGCCATCGCTGATATAAAACCATTTCTCTCTATCAAAGGAAACCCACTGGCTCTCCACAGTCTCTTTACATGCCAGTCAAAAATAAATAAATAAGTAAAACAGCTCCTGGTGGAAGCCAATCTGTATTCAATCTGTCCTCCAAGCCCAAATGATCAGGATGATTCAGCACATCGTTCCCATGACAAAGAACGGCTTCCTGAGGCTCACCCCCCCAGTGGCAGATCCACCAGGCTTCACGCTTTCTTTTATACTGCGTGTAATAATGAGCATGAACAGAAAAGACAAGAGGATAATGCGATGCCAATGACCCTTACAGCAGTAATGATTCGTGATGGCTGATGATGATGACGATGATGATTTTCATTCTAATTGTCAAAAGACTCTTCAGGTCTAAACAACCTCGGATTACCTTTTGATGCTTTTCTTACTATTTTGCAATGTTATACTAGTATTGCATACATCTCAACATATACTAGTCGAACGTTTAGACAGGTTGAAAATTACATTTAGGACTTTTTAGCTTGAAATTTGTTACTTCGACAAATATAAATAATGGTGCCTATGCACAATACTTCGCAGTCAAACTGGCCATTAAGTACAAGTTATTCATTCTTAAAAGCAGAAAATGTATTTAACAAAAAAAATTCTTTACCTTTATTACAGCTTCTATTCTTTTCTGGAGACTTGCTTTCTTGTTTTCCGAAGAAAGCTGCAGGAATATTTTTCCACACATCCAAAGTTCAGTCTTAGAAGTTGGTTTTCTGCTTCCCATTATCCAAGTAATCACAAATACATTCAGCGATGTTGAGGTCTGTGTTCTGGGAAACCGAGAACAACAGCTTCTCCTGTTTTTGAATGTTTGCTGTTTTGTTTTGCTCCCTTTTCTTAGTAACAGCTTCTACACATCCTTTCAGGCCCTCAGTATTGAGTTGTCCTCTCACAATAGAAGGATGGACAGAAACACCTGTGGATTTCTTCAGATCTGAAGATCTTTATCTGATGGGGACAGTTTACAGGTCTACCAGGTCTTGAAGGTAGTTGTTAGGAGTCCCATTTTCTCTGTATCTTTAAATCATTTTCTGAGCTCTAGTTTTGGAAATGTACACATTTTCCTTTAACTCTGCCCTTCCTTATGCATGCAGATTATACAGGGTGATTCAAAAAGATTAATCCGATCTTAAAGCACCATATTTTTACAACTGTGAGGCGCCTAGGAACCAATCACACACCAATTAAAAGAGGGGTCATAGAGTTTCTGACTGTCACTGGAAGATGGCTCCCTTCAGTCTGAGAGGAGATGGAGACCCCTGAGAAGAAAGCGTTTTGCGTTCTCCACTTCAATAAGAGTGAATCCGTCATAACTGTGCAGTGTGATTTTCATTGTCAGTGAATCTCCAACAGCTCAGAGCGTTCAGCGTTGGTTCCACAACACTGGATGATCTCCGAAATCGCACTGAAAGAGCTGTGAGTACAGTGACACCCGACATGCTCAATCGAGTATGGGATGAATTTGACTATGGTGTTGATGTTGTCTGTACAGCTGGAGGAGGTTCATATTGAGCACTTATAAAATTATATAATAAACCTTATGCTCACTTAAACCATTTACAGTTTACTGTATTGCTCTGTAATGATTTACAAGTGAAATAAATCATTTTGAAATCAGATGAATCTTTTTGAATCACCCTGTATTATACCTGATCTCCTCTGAAATATATTCTAAAAAATGGATAACTTGTACTTAAAGGCAGTTTTGCCTGGAAATTAAATAAATGAAGGGCAATCTCTGCCTTTTATTATCAAAACAAAAAATTACATTTTACATTTCAACTGTATGTTTTATAATTAAAAGGCATCCCAGGTGGCTCCCCATGAAGCTGTTTGAGAGAGTACCATGAGTGTGTAAATCTGCATCAAGGCAAAGGAGGGGCTACTCTGAAGAATCAATATTAGAAGAATAGAACATTTTTTTCACTGCATAATTTACTATGTGTTATTTCATAGTTTTGACTTCACTATAATTCAAACCTGTGGAGAACAGTGAAGATTCTTTGTGAACATGTGTATCCATGTGTATTCTAAGTGGTACTGTAGATGTATTTATATACAGATACTGTACTATTAAAGGTGAAACTTTCTTTAATGGCATCTATCTCTTATATTAAACAGATAAAGACAGTCATCACGCCATTAAATCTGAGCAAACAGAATTTAAGTGTAATGTGAATGACCAGTAAAATGAAGGTGCAATAATTCTATGTAGGCATATTGGTCAGAAGATTTGTATCCTTTGACAGGCACAGTGTGCTCCATGTTTCATGTGACAAAACATATGATCTACAAATATGGAAAAATGTCACGGCAGTACAGCAGGAGCCATAAAGAACTGAAATCTAATCCATAACCTACCAGGACCTGAGCCTTAGGGAAATCCTGATATATGAACCAGCTTTAGCTAATGCATATGCAGAATCAATACACATGCAGCCAATATGCAGAAGTTATATGGTCAAATTCCATGTTTTGTTGATTTTCTAAGAAAAATCAGTACATCCTCCACAGAGACACTGTTTATGTGCTAATTTACCTTAATATAAAAAAACTAAAACATGAAATGAGGCCTGTGCAAAAGTTATGTCACATTTTATATTTCATTTGTTTTCAATATGAAAACAAATAGTAATTGCGCACAAAGAAATTCAGACAGTCATGTACTTTAACCAGAGGTGATCAAACTTTTTGCATGTGACTGTATAAAAACATCTCTCAAAACGTGTAAAACCTAGTAAGGATATTACAGAGAGTTGTTTACAGAGGAAAGCTGTTTACTAAGTGCTTATATGTCCCTCTTGGCACAGACAAGATGCTACTTGTTGTTCTAAATAACTTAAAAAGTTTGCCCTGTTCAAAGTCAATTATTTAGAAAGTTACATGCACTCCATCATTTACCTGGAGCCTGAAAAAAGAACATGAGAAAGTAATGGATGCTCTAGGCGTTCTGTTGTGAGGAAAGGTTTCAATTAAATATTTAAATAGAGAGAGAGAGAGAGAGAGAGAGAGAGGATGCACAGGCATTGTATCAATATTAGAATCAGCATTAGATTTCTACTGTTGTAGCATTGAAAGTTGTTTATACACAAGTAGCAGTGTTTAACTGAGACATGGATGAGAAGATTTATACTGATTATCTTGTCGTGGTCTGGGATATATTAAACGGTAAGCAAACAATCGATTCTTGTAGTTAATGGGAGAAATGAGCAGGCGTAAAGACCTGAAAGACTTTGACAAGGGCCAAATCATTATGGCCAGACGATTGGGTCTGAGCATCTGTGAAACGGCAAGGTTTGCGGGTGCTCCCGGTCAGCAGTGGTGAGTACCTACCAACAGTGGTCTGAGGAGGACACTCACAGGACATTGCGGCCGCAGGCTGGTCAGAGTGCCCATGCTAACCCCTGTCCACCACCAAAAGTGCCTGCAATGGGCATAAGAGTGTCAGAACTGGACCTTGGAGCAATGAAAGAAGGTCATCTGGCCTGATGAGTCCCATTTTCTTTCCTATCATGTGGGCAGCGGGACAGACGTGTGCACTGTTAACCTGGGGAAGTGATGGCACCAGGATGCACTGTGGGAAAAAGACAAGCTGGTGGAGGGAGCATGATGCTCTGGTCAATGTTTTTCTGGGAAACACTGGGTCTGAGCATTCATGTGGACATCATTTTGACACATGCCACCTACTTAAACATTGCTGTGGACCAGGCACACCAGGTATTTCCCGATGGCAGTGGCCTCTTTCAGCAGGGTAATGTGCCCTGCCACACTGCACACATCTTTCAAGAAGGCTTAGAGAGCATGAAGAAGTGTTGAAGGTGTTGTCCTGCCTTCCAAACTTCTCAGAACTCAGCATCTCTGGCATGTGTTGGAACGACAAGTCTATGGAGGCTCCACCTCACAACTTACAGGACCTAAAGGATCTTCTGCTAACGTCTTGGTGCTGGATATTACAAGGTACCTTTAATCTTGTACAGTCTACGCCTTGGCGGGTTGAAGCTGTTTTGGTGGCACGCAGAGGACCAACAGCATATTAGGCAGGTAGATATGAGGTTTGTTGGGGTACATTAGCAAGTGTAAGTTTCTGAAAGTCATCTCAACTAAATCTAGAAGAACTCTGATAAAAAAGAAGGCACAGACATTCTCTCTGATGCTGAACAAAGTAAACACTGTATAAATGAGAACTCACACGGAGAAGTGGGAAAATTTTTAAAACCTTGAGAAACATGAAGTTATCACTGTTGTTTTGTTATACGATTTAAATATAATTACATAATCACAGTGAGTCATACTGTAGAGTTATGGCACAAGTAGTAGAAGGTTACATGAACAGAGACAATCAGGTCATGCAGGGTGAGATAAGCCAGCTATTAAGGTTAAAGTCTGTCAGAAAATTGTCTGAAAAAATATCTGGCGGATTAAAGATGGCATGTTACAGTCTGATTAAGCTCTGTGTAAATGATACATAAAATTTTACAGATGTAAATAGAATATGTATGAGGTCCGTACCTCTCCTTGTGCCCACCGACACTGTGCTCTGTAAACACAGACAAACAGTAATATATGGATGTAAAATACCTTCAGTACACTGACAGTTTTTTTAATATCCTCATCTTTTTTGTCATAGCCTGTTTTATTTCTATTCTTTTATATACTTACACTGTGAAGCATTTTGACCAACGTTTTATGTAAGAAAAATCCTTTGTACAGTGCTCTCCAGAAGTTCAACAACACTCTTCATTCATTTCATTTCCAATCAATACAGCCATTAAGCACAAGCTACTCATTTAAAGGATTTTTAAATGAGTAAAATGGATTATCTGAGGACATCAGATAATCCACTTGCATAAGGAAGAAAATCAAGGAAAAATAACTTGAAAACTGGTGTGGAACACCCAGTAGATGACCAAAGCATGCATCAGATCTAAAAAATCCACAGGCCCATTCTTCCACTATGAGACGACAACTGAACACTATGGGTCAGAAAGGATGTGTAGCTGTCAAGAAGCTGTTACCGAGAAAACAGAGTCCAGATATCAACATCTTGTTCAACACCTTGAGCAACATCTCATCATTGAGATTCCTTGGATCTTTCTATCAAAACGCACCCAAGTTCTAAGGCTGAACTTTGGAGGTGTGGAAAAATACCCCTTTAGGTTTCTTTGAAAAACTGAAAGCAAGTCTCCCGAAAAACTAAAGCCGTAATAGAACAACAAGTCTATGGAGGCTCCACCTCACAACTTACAGGACCTAAAGGATCTTCTGCTAATGTCTTGGTGCTGGATATTACAAAGTACCTTTAATCTTGTGCAGTCCACGCCTTGTTTTGGTGGCAGGCGGAGGACCAACAGCATAATAGAAGAAAAGAGCTTACTAAATATTAAGTTGTGTCATTCTGTTAAATATATAAAGAGTTTCATTCCAAAATGCTCTATATCCATTTATAACAATTTTTATATAATGGGTTTTTGAAAGGAGTAACAGCTGATGTTAATGGAAAACACATTTTTCTTTCTCTAATAAAGGTGGTATTATTTATCATAATACACCATTGATATCTCTTGTATGTGTGAAGTTCACTCCCAACAATGTGTATCATGTGAAAAAAAGAAAATTCTCTATGATGCATTTTGGAATGAAACCCTTCATATGTTTTCTGCTCTTTTCCTGATGCTGAAAATGAAGAGCGGTCTCTGACTTTTGCACAGCACTGTAAATAAAGCTGTCGTTGTTGAAATAATAACAATTGCAACAATAATAATTATTATTATTATCACAACAGTTAAATCATCTAAGTAGGACCTACTTAACATATTACGCAAATCTTGTAATAAATCTCCATGGAAACAAAAATACTACATAATATCTGCAGTGCCATTTTAATATTTCATAACAATGTGCCCCCTCCCTGGTCCCTGGTCCCCCTACCCCCGGGACCACGTCCTTGATCTCAGCACTGTGTCTGAAATCGCCAGTTTGACCATCCATTGAAAATCCTTACATCGACATCACTGCACAGAGCTGTGAATGGGGGAAGCAGTGACGTAAAAAAGGCTCTCAGACAGTATCATGGTGCATCTGGTAACTTAGCAACCAGACGAGTTGTAGAAACTTAGCAGACACCAGCTCCTCACAGTTGCACACAGCCTGTCAAAATTTTGGGGACACTTAGAAAATTCCAAAAGAAGGTAGTGTGTCTCCAAACTTTTGACAGACGGTGTACTAAAAATAATGCAGATGATTTTACGAGGACGGTGGGTAAACTAAGAGTTCTGCAGTACACTTCAGCTGGAGCAGCGGTTCTGTAAGCAGTCCACAAAGACCTCCCCATTTTGTATTTCAGCTCCCAGCCCACCTGAGCCAGGAAAGGAGTGTGTGAACATCTGATACAGGGAACTGAAACAGAGCCAAAACACTGGGGCACCATGAGGAGTCTGTCAGGAACAGTGATGCACATCATCTGAAGAGTATCAAATACAGAGAACTGTGGCTGAAATGCAGTGTGTTATAAGGCATATTTTATCAGGCTGTTCCACAGTGTCCAGAGTAAGGGGGGCTGGTATGATGATGTGATATTCTTGTCCTGATAAATTATATCAACATAAGCTTTTCTGAGCATATATGTACCATCCTATTGAAGTAGTTTAAACTATAGTCCCACCGTAAAAAAAAAAGAAACTGTTAAAAATAATTTAGAAAAACAATTTAGTGTTTAGACCTTAGCGTCACGCCTCCCTCTGGCCTGGCTGAAACTATAGCCAACGTGGCCGCTCCGGACTACAGTTCCCAGAAACCCTTGCTTCATCACATAACTCAGTAATCTCACCGTTCAACCTATCACCGTTCTGCTTCTCCGGACTTTTAATCACCTGTCACTCCCTGTATATAATCAGCCTGTCTGCAAAGTATCTTCACCTTGTTGTGCATATGGAGCGTTTCTCTCATGTTAGCGTATGACCCGTGCTCTGTTAATGAGCTTGAACGGACCTTTGCTCTGTTTTGGTTTTCTGGTTTTCGACTCCCTGCTTCTGTTTATTGACTGTGATTTTGAATTTTTCCCTTTCGGCATTAAAGTTCTTGACTCAAGCCTCTTCTGCGAGTGTCTGGTTCTGCCTGCCACCGTTACACTTAGATGAACTACTTTTGCACAATGCATTGATTGAGATAGTAATAAACTCAATCTATACAAATAATTTATGGGATTTTTATAGGAAAATAATACTTAAAATTCTTTGCTTTTTTAATGTTGTTTTATACAAGATTGTTTTGACTTGAAGTTAAAGATTTAGATTTAAGTTAAACTTTATTTAAAAGATGCTGTCTCACGTTTTCACATCACTATGGGAGCCTTATTTTAGCCACGCCCCTTCGTTTTAGAGTAGGAAGTGAGACTGCATCCCTGTTCCTCACGGCCACATGGTGAGCAGTTAGAACCCATCGTTTTGCAGTAAATATGTCCCAAAGTCTAAAAATCAGTGTGTAACATTAAGAACTGTCACTACTGAAAATCATATTTTCTGCAATTAAGTAAACATTTTTTGTGTTCTATTTAAAAATATTATGATATTATATGTTTACAACTGTTCAGAGCTGTGTTTTCTGTTCACGTACTGGCTAGCGTTTTGGAGTTCTTCTTAAAATTAGCCAATATTGTCACTACCAATACAGTCACTACTGAAACATTTGGCAAAGTTATTAAACCGTTCGGTGGAATGATTTATATAGAATATCATCAGTACTTAAAGAACTTAAACTGACCACAGGCTCACAAGTAGCACTGCTACCTAAAATCACCCTGCCATAGAGAGTTGGAATCCCAATGATGCTAAGCGCTCATGAGAGCAGAAGTTGTCCTATTTAATTAAATAGTGATAAAAAGTGAAGTATTTATTTAAGGATATTTAATGTAGCAAAACAATTTCAAGTTCAATGTGATTTTATGTTCTCATAACATATTTATGATATTTCTCAATATTTTACCTGAAGACTGTTTCTATGAAAGAAAAACTTTTCTTATCCTACAGTTCTGGCCACCACTGTTGGCACCCCTGAATTGTAAGTGCATAATGTTTACACACACACACACACTCATCTACACCGCTTATCCTTCTGGGTCGCGAGGGGATGCTGGAGCCTATCCCAGCTGTCATTGGGCGGAAAGCAGGACACACCCTGGACAGGTCTGCATAATGTACAATATCTCCTAAAACAAAAATGTGTTGTGAAACATCTTTGGTCATATACAGACATGTTCAATACACAACAGCTAAGGGTAAAAAAAAACGATGGGGAAAAAAAAGTAATGCGGAAAATATGGACGTGACACAATTACTGGCACCCTTTTGATGAATTCCATTCAGATTAGACTAGATTAGACTCACATGTGATAATATAGACATCAGAATCACCTGTAATAAATGAGGGCCCACGTGACTTGAAATAACCAATGAAGGCTTTAATGCTTAAAAGGGCCACTTCACTTTCCCTGATTCCTTTTCACAAAGGTGAAGACAAGAGAGCCGTCTGAGAGCATCAGAAGTGCTGTTACCTCCAAACGCAACAATGGTAAAGGGTACAAAGCCGTCTCCAAAGTCCTTGACATCCCTGTTTTAACAGTGTGCAATGTAATTAAGAAGTTTATTGCTCATGGAACTGTGAAGAACCTCCTAGGATGTGGGTCAAAGAGGAAAATCAGTGAGAAAAGTCTTTGAAAGTTGGTACAAACTGTGGAAAAAACACCATATGTGACATCCAAAGAGCCAAAGGCAGACCTGGAGCAGTCCGAAAGCACGGTTTCAACGTCACACACTAAACCAAGACGAGCTTCACGGGTGAAAGCCAAGGAAGCCTCCATTGCTGAGAGAAAGACGTAAGAAGGCACAACTGATCATTGTCAAAATGTACGTAGACAAACCACAATCCTTTTGGGCAAATGTTCTTTGGAAATGCAGACCAGCGATTTGTTTGTAGGCGATGGAATTAGGTTTATAAGCAATAAAACACCCTACCCACAGTGAAACATGTTGGTGCATCCATAATGCTGTGGGGCTGCTTTGCTGCCTCCGGTACTGGAGGCCTCAACCGAATTGAAGAAATAATGAAATTGGAAGATTCCCAAGGCATTTCATTGTGAAATGTGCTACCTAGTGTAAGGAAGCCAGGTTTGGGTCAAAGATCATGGTCCTTCAACATAACAAACACCCAAAGCACACATCAAAAAGCACAACAGAATGGTTGTAAAAGAAGAAGTTCACTGCTTTAAACTGACCAGCAATGAGTCCTGATCTCAACCCAACTGAAAATCTTTGGAGAAAGCTAGAATCTGCCTTTGGGAAGAAACACCCTGCAAACATCCAAGAGCTCGAAAAGTTTGAAATGGAGGAGTGGAAAAAACTACCAACAGACCGGTGCAAGTAGCTGGTACATAGCTACCAAAAATGACTGGAGGTTATCATAGCTGCTACAGGGTGTGCAACAGAATATTATGAAAGGGTGCCATTAATACTGTATATGTCATATTTTGCTTTTTTTTATAGAATCACTTTCTACAAGTTGAAAAAACTATTTGGTTCATAACTTTAGACATCCATTAAAATACTGTAATGATAAGAAAGTTGGTATATTTCCATTTCCAATTGTATATAAAAAAGATAATAGTGGTTACTGAGTTCCATGTACATCATAGAACTCATATCTGTATATACTTTTCTGTTCGTCTTCTTGGTGACTATAATCGGCATGACTTTGAAAGATGTAATGAACTCACAGTGAGATTCAGTAGAGCCACCACACGGCAGGGTTAGTTTTAACAACCTCCCCAAAATAAACAAAGAGAGAAGACAGATACGAATAACAATTCAAAACAGTTATGGTCTTGAAGATTTTCTGCACAGATTTAGCAAAAACATACAGTAGATATGTAAATAAAAATTTCAAGTTTATTGTGTTGATATTTGCTTTTTTACTTGTAATCAGAAATTAATTTGCCACAAGTGACACTCTGTCTGAATATTTTATGAATTTAGGTTCAAAATCTCATCTGGTTCAAACAATATAGAGTTATCTTGAGTTAAGTATGTGTAGGACTGATTTATGAGACTGATTTAATCTAGTTCCTCAGGCTGTTATAATTAACCTCATTTATGCGGTAGGTTGTAATAGCTTCACTCCTTGCACTTTTGGCTGAATTGTTGATAAACAGTAGGTGCTGGAAAGTTCCTGTTATTTGTAGGAGAAATGTGAAAGTTGATTGTATAAAAAAAAGCAAGCGGTGTTAGGTTGCTCTTCCCTAAAACGCTGAGTAAAAAATCTCTATACTCCTAGTTTTGTTAGAATTTTTTTCCATAACATTTTTCACAGATATTTGATAAAATATGGCACTTCTGTTTAAACTTACCAAGCCTCAGAAAAACGGAACATCATGGCAGGTATTGCAAAATTATTGCATTTTTTTGCCATATTGCCCACATCAAACCCAGAGAAAGTGGAATGCATTAAAAAAAAGCATTTTCACTTTACTAAAATACCATTGCGAGTCCAGTGTCTTCGACAACTAGACTACATGTGTAATAGAGAATAACAGAAAAAGCACAGGGCTGTAAGCTTGTAGCTCAAATCTTCATGTTTCCTGTTTTAGGACAACATTTGGCTTTCTTTTAATGTAAGCTTGCCAATTTTATAATTACTGCTAATCACAAAGAGAATGAATGTGCCAAACTAAAAAGGAACAGCTATTTGATTTTTCTACATCAAAGCAATATGAATAATATTGTATCATAATAGACTACAAAGAATGAAAAAGTCACTCTGGCATTCACTGTATGTGAACACAATCACAGACTCATGATTAAATGCAAAATATGTTAACCTCATATAAGACATTAATAGGTAGTAACACAGAACCATGTTTTTAAGAACTTGGTTCCCAAACAAGAACCCAAGAAGTTATTTACCAACACAGTTTAACTCAAAAAAAGCTGGGTTATAAATATGACAAGCATGTTATGTTTCAAAGCCTCTTTTGACGAGTGCATCGAGGCGCTATCAAACGTCTCTCAAAAAGCCCTACAGGACTGCTTCAAAGTCCTTCACTAAGACTTTAAATACTTGCAGAAGAGGGATTCCACCTCTCAGATTTGGCGGCAGCTCAGTCACTGCTAGTTCTGGTGTACTGAAACACATTCTTTTGACAGGGGGTTGGGTGGGTGGCTCAGGCAGGGCCAGGACCCGCAAGCTGCTTCACACATATCATACACTATGACTGATGTACAGTAGAAAATCCTGTATCAGCCATTACTCACTTTTCTGAGTCAATAAACACGTGTTTGTGTGTGTGTGTGTGTGTATATAATATATATATATATATATATATATATATATATATATATATATATATATATATATCCATCCAAACCCTCTTTTGGATCCAATAGTATTTGATTACTTTATTGGGTATTCAAATAAGGCCTATACAGCTTGCAATAAAGAAATATTAAGGACTATTTTTGTTGAGTACATACTGCAAAAAAACATATATTTAATAGAAATTTACACAAAAGCCTCCAGTACTAAGTATAATTTTATTTATTGTCCACCGGACCTGTTTGTGCTTATGCATAGTAAAAACACAAAAACTGAGGATGAGTATGTGCACCCAACTTCTAGCAACTGTGCAGGACCTGGTAGACAACCAAAACTATCACCATCAGATAAACAGCATTTAAAGGTTTCAACTTTGACAGAATTTAAGCTCCACTCTTGCTTCAGATCTGAAAACACTGAAACTGAACAAGTGAGAAGTGGAGCAAGGTTTTATTGACTGATGAGTTTTCAAGTTGGGAAATGCAGCCAACTTCTAAGACTGAACTTTGGAGGTGTGCACTGAAAGTGAAAGCAAGTCTCCTTAAAAGAATGGCGGCAGTAGTAAAGATAAAAGGGCTGAACGATTAAATGTTTCATGTACTGAAATCATAATTTGAAAGAGTACAAAGTACTGTACAAAATACATCATTCAAAGTTGTTTTAACACATTTTAAATGGCAAAATTTAACCAAATAATGCAGAGCTTGTTAACTGGCAGTCTGTCACATTACATTCAGCGTTCGAGGTGTTTCTCTTCTTGACATAAAGCAACCCAGAGCTTAATTTCATTAAATAGCTGTATTTAAGTCACTCTCTATATTGGTCAGAAAAATCTGCAATTAGGAAATTTCCTCAAATCGTCCAGCCCTACTAAATACTCAAAAAGACTAATATTACATTAAATTGTTGAAGCTTTTATGTAATTTTCTTTTAAAAATATAGTTTCGCTTTCTTCATAACACTAAAAAACAAATAACTTGTCCTTAATGGCCATTTATACATCTAAGTGAAATGAGGACATCTATGTGGAGCGATATATTGGGGATAGGCCTGGTTATTTTGGACATACAGATATCCAAACACATCCTAGTGTTCATTTACTTATTTTAAAATAAGGCATGGGCAGTTCATAATAACAGATGAACTTTAGCACAGAATTCTACACAGAATAGTGCACAAGATTGATGCAGCTGTACACCACACTCCTTAGTGCATTAGGAACGTTCAGTGCATAAACATCATTGACCTGTCAATCTACTTGGGTGTTAATTAACATTATCATTAACGGCATTAGCAACAAGGTAGGAGTAGCCTAAGCGACATAAAAAACACACACGGACAAAGTCACACACACGTCCATCCATTACATAGACACCCACACAGAGTGGAAGCATTACACAGACACCCACACAGACCGAAAGATAACATAAACCAGTTGTCCATTAGACAAACTTAATAAATTCATAAATTACTGGGACGTTGAATACATTCATCATGAATTTACACGTCCAAGCAAGCTTACCTTGGCAAGCATGCAAGAAATAGACATGAGCGATGTGTTATAATGGCATAAATTTCCTGTCTCCTGTTGAAGATTATAAGTTATATCTTTCAGACTATAAGTAATACGGATGGGTGACAAGTTAAAGGAAAAACCAACATACAGTGACTTAGTAAAGTTGAATCCACCAAGACAGCTTCAATGTGCCTTAGTTAACATCATTTTTGTACTCATCAAAGCATTCAGTGACCTCTCCTGCCCTGTGGATGGAGGCACTGTCAACCTGGAAGAGACTCCCATCAGGACAGTTGTTCCATCATAGGATATCAGAATAACTTTGTATTGATTTGCCCCCTTCCCTCAAAACGAGACCCGAATCATGCCAGCAGAATGCTTTCCACAACAAAACAGACCCACTGCACCCCCTCACTGTAGGGATCCAGCATTCAGGCCTGTACTGCTTTCTTAGTGTACGCTAAAAACATGCACTCATGTGGAATACAGGGAAGGGAGACTCGTCCTTGTAATGAGGGGATGCATTGCAACCCTGGACTGTCCAGTGCAGAAAATGCAACCAACTTCTAAGACTGAACTTTGGAGACGTAGAAAAATATTTTGGCAGATTTCTTTGAAAAACTGAAAACAAATCTGAAAAAAAGCTGTAATAAAAGTAAAAGGGCTGAACAATGAATCGTTTTATACACTGAAATTGTAATTTGAAAAAGTGGAATTTTCAAACTGCAAGACTTGCAAATTTTAATGATACCATTCATTATTTACAGTCATTTTAACATGTTTTAAGTGGAGAAATTTGACCAAATAATGCAGAGCTTGTTAACGGGAAGTCTGTGTCACTACATTCAGTGTTCAAGCCTCAAGCCTGAAACAATCAATGTGCTTTTCTTCTTGACAGAAAAATCCTAGAGCTTAATTTAAATAACTGCATTTAAATCACAGCAGGCCTGGGCGATATCTAAAAATAATCAGCACAATATTTTCTAGATAAAAATTCGTGATTATCAATGTCACAAACACTGCAAATTTTACTGATTTCACACCTGGTAGCCTTTTAAAGGCCCCACAATGCAATGTTCTAACAGTAAAAGTGAATAAAACATTATGTATAATGTTAGTAGTTATAGTATAAATATACTATTCAGTACTATTTATTACCTTCCTTCTGAGAATACCAGCCGTAGATGGCTATCAGAATAGCTTTCTCCATAGGTTAGATCTAACTTAGCTGCTCTAGAGTGATATCCAGTCACTTTAGCTTGTTTTTTTACTACAGCGAATTACTGTGAGGCAAACTTAAGTTAATGTAAAGTCAGAAAGGGAAGCCATGCTAGCATTACAGCATGTCTTTTTCTATAGCATAAAACACTACAATATTTACAAGCTACTTAATGGTCCTCTCTAGTTCTCTCTCTGTTCTTTTTCCAAAACGCTGATTATCGCTATCGGGTTACTTTTCCGTCGTCGCCGATATCCGATTACATCGCCCTTTAGGCGTGAGCCTAAATTACAGTCGCAGTAATAGTCAGAAAAACTGCAATTAGATACTTTCCCCAAATCCTTCAACCCTGCTAAACACAATAAATCAATATTACATTTAGCTGTTGATGCTTCTGTGTAATCTTCTGTTAAATATGTTTTCTGCTTTTTTTTCCTGACACTGAAAAATGAATGCCTTGTGTGTAATGGCTGTTGGAATGGAAGCTGTAATAAAAGTAAAAAGGCTGAACGATTAATCACTTTATATATTAAGCTTAACGATAAATCATTTTATATATTGAAATAAAAAAAAATGGAAGCTATAATAAAGGCAAACTGTGGACACACTAAAAACTGAAAAATCTGATATTATATTTAGTCCTGTGTGATTTTCTGATGAATAGATTTTCTGCTTTCATCCTGATGCTGAAAAACAAATAACCTGTACTTAATAGGAATGTTGAACGAAACTGAATAAATGAAGGGTGGTCTCTGACTTTCGCACAGTACATATTACATTTTATATCATGTTTTAAAACAAACTCATGATGTCTAAACAATGCACATCCACCACGTTAGTTCATTCTTAGAAAGCATTAGAGTTAATACTGTCATTTTTCTATAGATCCGATTCCATTTATTTTTTTATTTTTATCATCTAATTAACTAAATTAATTAAATACTGAATTACATTTACGTTACATTTCACATATTCACTTTTTGTAAAATCTATTTGCTCTTCCCCCCACAAGTAATGACAACATGGCAAAAAATGTTCTTTCTGAAACAACAACTTTTCATCCAGTTCAAAACAAAGGAACGTCTCCTTTTCTACACAAAGTTCTTTTTTCAATGCTTCAATATTCAGTTCTCAATTGTTTTCCTACAAAAGCACAACAATTAATATTTCTGCAATGACAACAGCCTTTTGCTACTGCTGACGACTTCAAAGGGCACTCCAACGCCTCTAAAAACCAAGAACTCCCACAAGAGTTTTCACATGAACTCAGACAACACAGGCTCATGCCCACAAGCAGCGTCTCTGTGTAAAGAGGAAAATCTCCACAGAACAGTCAGCTCAAAATCAAGCCATAACAAAGCAGGTCACCATGTCACCGAATCCCTCCTCACAGCCTGAGAATCCATCCTCTGACTGCACACTGTCATCTAACACAAGCTCCGTAATGTCATTTTCTGCAGTTCAGCCGTGTTCTTTATTCCGACTAGCGGGTCTACATCACTTCTGGCCAGTTTTCCAGACACAGATTCAGCTCAGTCTCAAACTACATTACACTGTGGATGAGGATTCTACACTTAAAGTCTTTTTCAGTCTAGAGGCAGGGCCGGCCTGGGTGCACAAATCCTCCCGTTAGGATATAAAGCACTCGCACATACAGCTATGAGCAGACGCTGCCTTTCTGCACAGACCATAGGATACCATCGTCTGCCCCCGGCGAAATGACATTCTAAAAGAAATAATTTTGTGAAAAATCTCATTTTCACAATTTCCCCCTACCCAAAATGTAGATCTGAACTGTTCACAGTGGTGGTGACAGGAACCAGACATCTGAAGAGTTTAATGCCTCTAAAAGCAACAGCACGGAAAGCTACTGCATGAAATGGTTATGAATGTGAGCCTGAGATGCTGTTTTACAATCCTTTTTTGTTAAGGCTTTGGCTTAAAATGTGGTTTTTTTTTTTAAAATCATGGTGTGAGAGATATTTGCAGGGTGTTGTAAGGCAAAATGAATTTTTTTTTTTCAAATTTATCAATATTTTACCATCATCAGCTTTACGTATAAAACTATGTTTTAAGTTACCCTTTATTAATCCCACAGTGGAGAAATTCACCTCCGCATTTAACCCATCTATGCAGTGAAACACCACATACACCCTAGTGAACACACCACTAGGAGGCAGTGAGCACACTTGCCCAGAGCGGTGGGCAGCCCTATCCACAGCACCCAGGGAGCAGTTGGGGGTTAGGTGCCTTGCTCAAGGGCACTTCAGTCACGTCCTGTCAGCATGGGGGATCAAACTGGTGACCTTCTGATCACACGCCTGGTTCCCTTACCTCCAGCCCACGACTACCATCTCCAGCCCATCACGCCAAGAAGACACATGTAGTTTCATTGGTGGTTTTGGATAGTGAATAAAATGGATATATTTGTGCTGTAGCCATGGAGACCCCTGGTTCCAATCACCACTACTGTAAAGAAATCAGAGTTGGCAAGTTCCTCTAAGATCACATCACACCACTCTAAATGACTTTGTTTACATTTCAATGATTGAATTCTGAATAAATTTTGAAAAAAAAAATTATTATATCTATTATATTTTTTCTTTTTCAATTCAACATTGAAATACCTTATGCGGGGCAGCTTTACTAACGTTTAGTATCATTTCACCCTCCATTTTTAGCATTAAAAAGCGACTCTCATAATTTACTATACAGGCGAAGAAATTTAAAAAACAAGCCAAACCGTTTTAGAGAAACAATGTTTCCTTATATATGTACACTTTACACTATCAAAGAGCAGGTTTGCATAAATAATGATCTGACAGTTTTCTTTTACAAAACAATTGTTAGAAGCACATATTGAAACTCTTTGGTTCTGTAATCTCAGCTTTACTAAAGCTTCTTCTCAACTTCGTTATTCCTGCACTGTGGCTTCTGTATGTGTGGCAGGAATGTCACTGCTATTGTCTGACGTACTGCAATTTAATCTTGTTAATTACAAACTTGTGCCTGAGTTCATTTGCATGGCAGTAGATAACCCCACCGAGTTAGCTGCTCCCACCAGCACAAAGTGTCGATAGTGAGCACCTTAGTAAATCTGCCCCATAAGGTGCTGTTACAGCTGAGTTCATTTTAAAACATTACGTATCTCTTTTATGAAATTTTGGTAATTAAGGATTATTAAAACGAGGCACATTGTAGCATTTCATATTTAACCATATTCTTTATGGCTAATTTAGTGCAATGAAAGTGTAGACATCTTAACTATTTTACCTCAAAAAATGTATCTTAAAAAATCACCTAAAAATCTATTTGAATTTTTTAGTTTACATTAAAATGCTATTAATGTAAATGCAATTGCAGACAAAGCTGTTGAGAAGCACAAAAAAATCAGCATAGCTCTCCTGCACAGGGCTTTTATTCTGTCATCCTGTTAAGAGGGGCGTTTACTCATGTTGCTGTGCATGGTGCATTTCATGTTTGCCACGAAACTCTCATTTCATCTACTCATCTAAAGACATTTGCCTGTAATGTGGTCATTAATAATGCTTACCTGTGTACAGAGCATTTAGTTTCAAGGGCCTATAATCAAGCTGAAATGTCCTTTTCCTTCACTTTTTGAAATAAAGAGTTTGATATAGTATACAAACATCAATAACGTTTCAAAAACGTTCATTCTTCAGCCCATACAGTGCACGTATGGAAACTAAGCTGCAAAAACAGCTTGTTTTGAAAGTGTTGTTTATGTGTGATGTCATGAAAACCACATTCACATATATCTACCTATTCAGCCAACAGCAGTTTAGCCCCACCCATTTGCACTGAAGTTATGAGGAGTGTTTCAGCCTGGACTGTTTTTTGAATGAGGCACAATATAGGGCAATCAGAACAGAGCTTTTTTACAATGTACATACACAGCAACTAAAACAGTCTGTTCAATCCTGCGGTATAAAGAGAGGTTTGAAAATGGCCAATTAAAATTTAAATACAACTGTTTTTGTAACATAAAACCATGCAAACGTCATAAATGGACCACAGAGGAAAAAATTAGATATGGGCCCTTTAATAAAGACACAAAGTGAGAATTTGATATCCATTTTAGAGAAACTGTGACAAAGAAACAGTGTCGATACTGGATTGGTTACATCTGCCTGATACCTGATCAATTTAACAAGGTCATTAGAGGTGCTGATACTGATCCAGTACATCAGATCGATGCATCACTACTTATTTTTGTTGTTTCTGACACTATTTGACTGAAAAAAACAGACAAAAGTATAAATAAAGTGCAGGCCTCAAAATGACTGCTACTACTGTTTTAGCTATTTTTGAACTGGTGTGGAAAAAACTGTATAAATTAGAATCTTGACAAACTGTTCCATCAACCATTATAGGGGAAGACACAAAACCGGTTTTAGATCAGTCCAACGAGCAACATTTCCACCCCTACGCAGCGGACTCGTGTCTGGCCAACCGCAGGGGACTCTTGTTAGAGGTGTAAAAGCGTGAGGCGCAGGGGAAGAGTGTTGACAGCCCGTGCGTGTGTGTGTGTGTGTGTGTGAATCAATGTCTCACTCTCTCTCTCACTCACCCATCTCAGGATGGTGCCGCCCTTCCACCGGCACGCTGACCGTCCGTCGCAGCAGCTTGTTCCTGTGCGACTCGGAGCGCCGCTCGCGCATCAACAAAGGATGAACCTGTGGGAGAGCAGAGCAACAGGGTCAATAAACGCCGAAACTAAGCCAATACAGCATGTGATGCGGCCTAAACTACTACCCCCAGCTACTACTTCGGAGATAACTGGCCTAACCTTAGATCCTTAAACTCTGTGTTTTTCAGTTTCTGTAGTTTGACAAAAAATTAAATGTAGTTTCCCTTTTACCACAAATGAAGATATCTTTGATGTCTGAAGTTTCTTTATTTCTTTATTTATTTCATTTTATATCATTTTATTTCTTTATTTATTTCATTTTTACACTGAACGCTAATGTAGATAACAAGTAACGGAAGCTTATGTCTCACCGATTAGCATTAGCACTGCATGCCTAAATCATCATGAACTTGTCTCACAACACATCATGTTGTTAAGTAATATGAGATTAAAAAAAATGGACAAAGGTGCAGATAAAATTCAGACTTCTTTTTCTTCTTCAGGCTGCTACTGCCCTGCTAGACAAACCAGAACAGACCAGCATGTCACCAGCATAACCAGCATATACTGTGTTTTGAATGCTGCTGTGTTGATCGCCACCAAAACTAGCAAATGTTGTTTTTTGCTGATACGAAACCAGCACCATACCAGCATAAATCAACCTAGACCAGCCTGGAATTCTGTGATGTTTATGTCCATTTTTATAGCTAAAGCTGGAACTACGCTACACAATGTTTAGTTTAATTTTACACTGAATTGCTCCTTTCAACAAATTTTCACAATATAAGGCTATTTTCCAGGTGGGGAGCTTGGTGTGAAACGACTGATTAGCCTTCCAATCGAGCTCCAGAGAGCTCGGAGGCCCCTTGATGTTTTCAAGTGTTTTATTTTTACATTGCAAATGATTCACAAGTCACGTAGGTTGATGTACGTAGCGATGTAACTCAACCTAAGTCAAGCCAAAAAAACAGGTGTTTTCAGTAATTATAGCAGCGGCACCCTGGAAGTCTGCTATAAGTGCCTTTGGGAAACCAAGAAGTATAATATTTTTATAATCTTACAACTGAACTACTGATACTCTAAAGCTACCTGAAATGCTGAGAATTTTTCTCAGACAGTATGTTGCACTCTGGAAAACGCTGAGTACATATTTTTATTTTCTATGATGCAGCTTTACAGTTCATCATTCAGTAAACATTTGTACTTAAGACACAACTCTGAATATTATTCGCCGGTTAGCATCTCCTGAGCTGGTTGATAAAAGTAACATTCACACATATGGCCTGTTTACAGTGTTTTCAGGACTTCTTCACATACTCAAAATTTGTGACCATTTTATGACTGCAAATATGTACGCATTAATGAACTCTCGTATTTTACTTCCTTCATCAAGCCAGTCTGCAGCAAAAACTATCACTCTTTATGAAGTCTCTGGGTGCGCCTTATTAAATGAGCTTGTTTTATGGTTGGGGAAACACAGAGACTGTGCAAAAATCTGATAATGACGTTTCATTAATCAATTCAGAATCTTTTAAGAGAGAATTTGGATGCATGCAAGAATCAAGTGTTTTTCCTATCCCTAGTTGCCACACTAGAACTGTGGCACTAGTGCAATACTACAAAATAATAGTATAATAACTTGAGACACAAAGCACGTCTTGGCTGATTGACTACATTTAGGTTAAGCGGAAAATGTGTAAATCAGATTCGTTCTGTCCAAGGCTATCGCTTTAAGTTTTACTATCCATTAACTTCTAAGAATAATCCAGTAGGCATTGTAGTTATAGAGCAGAGTGAGGAATGGAAAGCCCTTAAAGTTTAAAGGGTTAACAGTTCCTGAATCTGCAGACCGCTAATAGAAACCAAATTCCCACAGGGGGGACTGAGGATTCCTTGAAATAATGAAACACGTGACTGCATTTTTTCGGTGGGAGAGAAGGAAAATAATTGCGGGCTTGTGTGTGTAATATGGTGTTTATTTAAGGCTCTGTACGGGGTTGGATCCCAGGGGAGAAGAGCACACGGTAGCCCATCCTGAGAGAGAGAGAGAGAGAGAGAGAGAGAGAGAGAGAGAAAGAGAGAGAGAGAGAAGCGCCTTATTCATCACACTTCAGCCTCTCATAGCACAAACAATGGGGAAATAAAGCAGCACAGGTTTCGCTTCCAAATTGCCAGGAGGCGATGTAACGATGTGGGTGGCGCTCCTCTGTTCTGGCTGCTATCTTAAGGCAGATAGGATCAGGCTGTAGAGAGTGGAGAAAGTGGAGAGAGTGGAGAGAAGGGAAAGAGGTGATAAATGAGGCGGGCAGAAGCGGGTCAAGCGTCGAATCCCAACGGAGAGCGCTTCAAATGCTCCCTGTCACCTGCACTCACAGCAGGCTGTGTTACCACAGAGGGTATTATTGCCCATGATCACAGGACTGAGCTGGTAGTTGCTGTGTAAATTAACCATATACACTGCTAAAGTCTGGGAACACCTCATCTTTGGCGCTTCTCCAAGCAATGTACGGTTTTCACTGACACTGCAAAAAAACACCCTATAAAGCCAAAAGTATTTGGGCACCTGAGCATCCACATGATCCTATTGGACATTAATATGGTGATAGCCTTTCCTGTGCAGCAATAACAGCCCCCACTCTTTTAGGAAGGCTTTCCACAAGATTTGGAGTGTGGCTGTGGGAATTTCTGCACATGAAGTGTGAAGTATGTGTCTATTCATGTGTTTGCTATCAAGAAATATAGTTTGTGACTCCAGCCAAATGAAAATCTACAATTTTTGGCTCTGTTAGTTCACATTATTTACATATGAAATTAATGCACTAGCAGCATTAAAACATTACATTACAGAGAAAAGTAGATCAAATGGCAAAAATAGCTGCTCTGACATGAGCAACTTGACTTGTTTGGGGCAGTCGTGGGCTGGAGCTTAGGGAACCAGCCTTGTGACCGGAAGGTCACCGGTTCGATCCCCTCAGCTGACAGTACATGAGCCCTTGAGCAAGGCACCTAACCCCCAACTGCTCCCTGGGCGCCGTGGATAGGGCTGCCCACCGCTCCGGGCAAGTGTGCTCACTTCCCCCTAGTGTGTGTGTGTGCGCACTAGTGTGTATGTGGTGTTTCACTGCCTGGATAGGTTAAATGCGGAGGTCTAATTCCGATGTGTTCAGACACGTTTGGCTAAAAAAAAACAAAAAAGGTTCAGGTTCATGCTAAATGTGCACTTGCTAGCTGTTGGTCCACCAAAAGGGAGCGCTATAAACAAGTAGGTTTCCTTTACTTACAACAATAAAATTGCAGCTGGAGTCAACCCGTATACTGCCATTTGTTCATACCTTTGTGATAAGTATATCTTTGATACTGTATCGCTTCGACAAGTCCCGAAAACTACTGTGTTGAGTTCACTGGTAAACTTCTCTAAAGATAATGAGGGCAATTTGAGATCCAACAGCCATATAACTATTTGGCTTATTAGCCTGTTAGCCTTTCCCCCTTATACATTTAAGGCTAGTTAAATGAGTAAACTACTGGCAGCAAATCAGTTGTTAGCAAACTTGCTAGATTTGAGTGCTTGTAAACTAAGCCAAACTACCTAGTCATCATTTTCAGTGAGTCCAGAAAAAGTGTGATATTTAATGACTTGTACATGTAGTCTCTGTTTTTCAGAGAGTGCATCCAGAGACATTCTAAATGAGGAGACCAGTCACTGGTTAAAATATAAATGGGAACACTCATAGTGCTCAACATAGCCTCTGTTTGCAGAGAAAGTCCTGCTCTTCGATAAAAAGAGCCAATTAGCTTGCTGCTTACACTGTGAGCAGGAAAGGGTTGACAATACTGTAGCGCTAGCGGGGAAAGGCTCCCCCTCACTGTGTATTGCAAGCAGAGTAGCCAGCACAACCTGAAATATCATGGTTTTTGTGCGCCATTGAGCCAAACGCTACAAACTACTTATGAGGCTTTATTTTTATTTCATTGGATTTTACCACTGATTTCAAATATGTTTTTAAGCTGTAATTTGACCTTCAGTTTTGAGTATTTTGGTCTATGCAAAATATTTAAAAGCCTGGTCTTGGCATGACTGGAAATAACTTAACAGACTTCCCAAATCCAGTCCTGGAGGATCTACAGTCTTGAAAATATAGGTACCAAAAGATTCCCACTTTCGGTTCCCTCGACAATCTTTCAGTGGTTAGTTTTTCGAAGAACCAATTTTCTAAATGAGTTCTAGGAAGAAACTTAAATTGGCCTATTAGACACGATAAACTGACCAGAAAGAATTATTTATACGAAAAGCTACAAACTTCATTTCAGTGCTAGAAGAATGACAAAGCAAATTCTACGAGTTGTAGCTCATGAGACAGTCTGTTATTCCTACTCTTTTAAAAGTGAACCCTGGTCACAATCCACTAAAATGTAATTAGGATGGTTTTATTCACTTAAGGCAAAGTGCTGCATTTGATGCTCTGATACTCAGCAGGCTGAGAATATATATATTGCTGTTTGCAATGAAATTGCGAAATGGGTCTCTCAATAAAAAATGCATTACACACAATAAAAACTTCATGAGTTGTGGGCACGAAGAACCTATGTTCCCTTATCTGCTCAACTGCCCTTTTATTTCACCAATTATCCGCCAAGAGGCCTCACTCAGAGACCATATATTTTTAATGTTATGCTCTGAGACGTCTGTTTACAAGGTGTCAATTTGCATAGTGTGAGATTTAATTATCTTATAATCTTGGTCTGGGCACAATGAATACAAGCAACATCACAGCAATTCCAAGTAACTATAATCCTGTCACACAAATGTTGTTGGCCAAGATAAGACACAGCGTCTAAAGGAAGAGGAAAAAACTCATCTACTGTCTTACTGTGATGTGGACATTGGATTTGGAAATTTTGGAAATTAGGGACATAAAGCAGTCCGACATCATACATGTGGGAGAATTCTGCATCATGTATTTAAAGAATTTATACTTGATTTAGTACATTTGATTATATATTACACTGCAGTGAATGAGAGCATCAAACTATAAGCAACATTAT